TGCTGAGAATTACTTTGTTTAGGTGATCTTATCTTTGTAAAAACATCAGAGATATAACTATAGAAACTTACATAGTATGATTTACTTTATTAACTATATAACACAAGGCATGTATAGACACACACACAGAGACACACAGACACAGACACACACACCCCTACTGATTCCAGGACCATTATGAACAGAACAACAGAAGATTAAATCAAACCAATAAGATGATGTAATCAAGAGACACAGGTATCAAATTGTGTCACATGCCTCTGCTTTACATAGTCGACAGTGCATAGGTTTGTTTAGCCCAGTAGCACCACAATCATGTGACTATAACATTGAGCTGTGATGCTAGGATTCCTATGAGGTTTCTCGACAATGGGTGTTTCAGTTCTGTTATAATTTTGTAGGTCCTTGGAGTTCCTGAACACATGGTACATGACTGTGTTTAAATCCTTCATTTCTCTTTGTGATATTTTACAGAATAAGCCACACACTTCCTATTATACATTTTATGGTCTACAGATTTAAATTAATTGTTTTAATCTTGAATCATTCATTGCTAGTTCATAGAAGTACAGTTGGTTTTTACAACTGGGCTTGTACATTGAAACAATTTTATATGCATTTATTAGCACTAATGGTTTTGCTTCTGTGTGCAGTTAGTAATTTACATTCATATGTATTATATCATAATTCTGTAATTATAGATATGTTGTTGCCTTTACAAGAACTGTGTATCTATTTCAATAAAACTGTCTAACAGTGACTAGAAGTTCCAGCTCAATGCTGACTAAAAATATTAAGAATAAATGACTAGCCGGGCGGTGGTGGTGCACGCCTTTAATCCCAGCACTCGGGAGGCAGAGACAGGCAGATCTCTGTGAGTTCGAGGCCAGCCTGGTTTACAAGAGCTAGTTCCAGGACAGGAACCAAAAGCTACAGAGAAACCCTGTCTCGAAAAATCAAAAAAAAAAAAAATAAGCGACTATTTTCTCTCGTTAATTTTAAGGACAAAATACTTATTCTCTTATCTCTAAACATGATGCTGTTTCCATAGTTGTTCTCCATCAGGGATGCTTTATACATAAACAGTTATTAGCTCAGCTACTGGATTTTATTAACTCCCTCTCAACATCTTTTGCTTGGTTTTTCCCTCTCTTCTATCAATATATTGTGCTAGACTAGTAGATTTTTGTTGTTGTTGTTAGTGAACTTTGCGTTTTTATCTTGTTTCCACTTGCAGATTGCTTTATCTTCCCAGGGCTGTGGATTACACTTTTGTTAGGGTTTCCACATCCCTGATTAACACTTGTCAGTAGCTTCCAGTTCTTATAATCTCCTGCTGTGGTTATTGTTTCAAAGTAATGCTGACCTGGTAGAATGAGGTGGTAATGAGTCCTCTCTTATGAGAGTCTCTAGAGGATTAGGATTATTTTTTCTGTTAGAACCCGAGAGAGTCTTCTGTGCCTGTACTTGTCCTTGATTAGCTTTCATTTTTTTTTCAGGTAGCTTATTCTATTGCATATGTATGGGTGTTTTTCTTGTATGTATATGTGTGCAACATGATATACAAGAGGCCAAAAGAGGGTATCGGATCTCCTAGAAATGAAGTTACAGATGTTATAGATGTTAGGAGTTCTGGGAGTAGAACATTCTGGGAATAGAGCCATGTCTCCAGTCTGACTCAAGTTCGCTAGCTGAATTAGATCTGATTTGATTATTTACTTGTTTGTTTATTGTATGTATCTGTGCAATGTAATATGTATCATGTGATATGATATGATGTGATGTGGTGTGTGTGAGTGTGTAAGTGTGGGTGTATATGTGTGTAGGCACATGTGAAGGTCAAGGAACTTTAACTGCCTTAGATGTTTTTTGATTATATGTTCATCTATTTGTTTGTATCAATATATCACAATAATATATAATATAATAAATTTGCCCTCATATTTTAGGTGAGTGTCAGAATAGTATCATTTCTATTTTAAAAAGTAATTTATTTCTAGTGAAGTTTTGTTTCTTTCTTCTCATTCTTTCCTTAAAGTTACAAAATGATTGTTTCAATATTTTGTGTGCATCTATTCCAAGTACTTTTTCTGTCAAGTTAAACAGCTGTTTGCACTCAGAAACATTTTTTGATATTTCTCATATATATATATATATATAACATTATATATACATTCTTCATTTTCACCATTCACATTCTTAAAACAATGCACAATATACAAAGCACTACGGAGATGAATGATCCTCAATTCTCCCCTAAAGTTTACTTTCGCTCTACTTTCCCCTACCTTGCATTACCTCTTTGACATCTTCCCTCACACGATTTGTGGTAGCTGATGTCTGCTAAGCAAGCATAGGCAGCTGTTATCTGCAAACCTGGCTTCTTTTTTAAATCTCCCGAGACTTGGGAGCTTAATGGTCAACCATTGAGTTGATATAAACATTGGTCAAATACCTCTACCTAAAAAGATTACAGATGGAGTTTTGGGCATGGGGTGACCATTACATTTCATCTTCACTTGGGTGCCTTGTTTTCTGAGATCTTGTATAGATTTGGAGTTGACAGGAAGTGAAATGTCTGGGCTTCTCGAGATTTTGAAGCCTGAGACACCTCCCCCAAGCAGGACTGTAACCCTAGGTACATCCTCCTTGCTCCTGGTGGAGACCATCACATCCACAAAAACATGTATGGGCGGTGCAATTCTACGTTATCCCCAGTTCGTTCTGTCCCTTTTAGCATTGCACTGAAGCAGCCGATGCCCAGGGCTAGCCTGGCATAGAGCCTCAATAGCAACTGGAGAGGACAAGAGACGGCTTATTGCTAAGCCAAACAATCACCCTTCCCATTCTTCCTATCCAAAGTGAGGCAGTTTCCAGCACAACTGCATAACCTGTAGATAATTTTCAGAGCACTAAAGAGATGTTAGATTAATTCTTTCTAACTTATATCCCAGTTGAGAAAAGAGATTTCCTGATTTCTGTATAGCCTGAAGTCTCAGCATGTAGGAAATTTTAAAGGGTTGATTCTAAACTTGATAAGAATAATTAAAAACAAAAATGTATAGCTCCTTGGCCTTATACACAAAATTGCAAAATCTATGAAGAATTACTATCCAAAGTACATTAAACTTTATTCTGAATAACTATAGTATAGCTTAAAACAATAGTCTCACGCCAAGAAATCTCTAAGATTTTTATATTAAAGGCTAAAATTATTTTAACAATTACAGAAAGTCACTTGATAATGACCAGCACACATTCAGCAGATTGGGAATCAATAGATAAAACTCATACTAACTCCCCAGAAGATAAATAATTAGCAGATAAAACCGTGGAAGTGTTCCCTTTAATATGAGAAAAGAGGAAGTGTTCTTTAGGTGTTTAACCCCGAATCCTTGCCAGTGATGTAAGGAATGAAAGAGAAATAGAGAATTAACTAATATTGAAAGAAAATAATTAAACTATAATTAATACAGATTATGTTATCAATTGCTAAGCAAAATATAACACAAGGATTAAGCTGAGAGAATTAACATAGCTGACAGAATTCCATCATTTTATATTTTAAGATTCCCACTTAAATTTTAGCAAATCTCATTCTACAGATGTAAACATTCAAGTAGTAGTCGTCTTTAAATAGATTTAAGATAAGGTGTGTGTATGTATGTGTGTGTGTGAATGTCTTTGTTAATTTTTTTCTCATTTACTTGTGTTTCATATTTTTAAACACCATTGGCTAACCGAAGTACTAATTAAGAAGACATAAAGAAGAGAAGAAAGGAAGTTGCAGAGCTGTTTCAGAAGAGAAACTCAGATTTTAAAGGAACGGCCAGTCCTCCTAGCTTTTGTAGCTTAAAAGGTAGTCAGTCCCTTTAATTATAGATAAAGGATTTGCAGGTATTGGTTGGCTGAGTAGCTGTCCTGGTATTTGTCTAAAGAGTGAGACTGACTGAGCCCCGAGGAAGAATTTAGTCAACTATGTTTATCGCGGAGGCAGAAGTTCTCAGACATTCCTCGGCTGTGGTGTTGCCAAGGAAGATGGTAGCTGGGTTAGACCATGGATGATACAAGTAATTAGGGTGTGTCTACCTTGACTGATCATTTTAATTATATGTCAGGGACAAAGGAGGAGGAAGAGAAGTAAGAAATTAAAGAAAAAGCAACAAAGGGGACCAGGAGGTAATGCCCTGGTCAGCCTAGCTGGTAACAGCCTGTGTTTGGTCAACTAAAATTGTGAGATTTTGTAAGGCAGGTATTTCCATTAATATGGAAATCCTTATTTCATTTATTAATGTTTTAAGAGTTATTTTTGGATTTTTCTATGATAAAATATATATCCAATGAAATGGTTGTGTGATGCTCCTTATATATTCAGTGTGTTTTTTTTTCCTTTTATTTTATGACTTGGTTTTCTTTTAACCATTGGACACTAAATTCATGCAAAATATTAGCTTGAATTTCAACCTGCAAAATAGACACACATGAGTCCAGTTGAATTAAATTAGGAGAACACTCCAAGTGTTGTACAAGAGAAAAAGAAAGGAATAAAACAGAAAAAAGGGCAAAGAAACGGACTTTCTTTAAAATGCCTTCCAATGCATGTTAAACACTGTGATTCGCTTTTAAAATTGAGTTGATAAAATAATGACAGCCAGAGATACACAGATTGCCCATATTACGCAGAAAATACAAGTTCTGAGAGGTGTTATAATCTCTGTAGTTCAAGAAAGGTTCATACAGGAACTAGACAGACAGGAGGTAAGAGAAACTCTCAGAAAGCTCTCCCCATCCGGCTAGCTCCTCCTCTCAGCATCTGTCAATGCTTCCTGAGTTGGGTCATGGGTTGGGCCTATGGACAAGCTGTACCAGATACTCAGCCCACCCTTCTCTAAGTCACATTCCCTCCCTTCTAAGTGGTTGGCTTCACAACAGGTAATTAGGAAGCAAACAGATAACTCTGAATAGAGTCCAGCATCTTTTTGAAAGTAAATGTGGCTTACCTTTGCTGGGGCAGCCGCCCTGGTAGCTCTTGATAAATCTCCCACGCTCTTATTGGACTTGGCTTCTTCTTCTCTGAGAAAGAGAGAGGACTAGCATAATTTGATGTTAAAATTACTTGTTGCTCAGCAATCTTTAGGAATAAAGACAGACATGATCAAGTTGCTTTTGACTGCTTACTGTGCTCAGCCTGAGCTGCCAGAGTGAAAATAGTTCCCATAATGAATGAGCAAGACCCTCCATGCTCAAAAAAAAAAAAAGTCTCAAATATGTACAAGGATAGACAAGAACCTTGGTGTTTAACTAACATACCTGACCTTGGATACTTCCTTCAGTAAGATGACTATAATGCTACTGTAAACATTGGTCTGTGTCATTATTTGCAACATTTGAAAGACTATTTACATTGAACTTGACAGCCCATTATCAACGTCAAGATAATCCTAGCAAATCATAGTCTCCTTCTTCCCAGGTGAGCCAAGTATTTTATTATACAGATAAAGAATAACAATTTAACAAAGACAAACACATAGGCATCCTCAGGAATATTAACCTTCATCAGGCGATGAAAGGAGACAGAGACAGAGACCCACACGGGAGCACCGGACAGAAATCTCAAGGTCCAAATCAGGAGCAGAAGGAGACGGAGCACGAGCAAGGAACTCAGGACCACGAGGGGTGCACCCACACACTAAGACAATGGGGATGTTCTATTGGGATCTCACCAAGGCCAGCTGGCCTAGGTCTGAAAAAACATCGGATAAATCCGGACTAGCTGAACATAGCGGACAATGAGGAATACTGAGAATTCAAGAACAATTGCAGTGGGTTTTTGATCCTACTGCACGTACTGGCTTTGTGGGAGCCTAGGCAGTTTGGATGCTCACCTTACGAGACCTGGATAGAGGTGGGCAGTCCTTGGGCTTCCCACAGGTCAGGGAACCCTGATTGCTCTTCGAGCAGATGAGGGAGGGGGAATTGATCGGGGGAGGGGGAGGGAAATGGGAAGCGGTTGTGGGGACGAGGCAGAAATCCTTAATAAATAAATAAATTAAAAAAAAATAAAAAAATAAAAAAAATAAAAATAAAAAAAAAATAATAACAAGTGACTCTAATATTAAACTATTTTATTCTTGTTTAAAATCATCAGTAATTTCTTTATTCAAAGATTTGACTTCACATATATGATGAAAGGGAATCTTTGCTGTGAACAAGATGCTTGCTGGTTCATGTACAGCTTTCAAAAGAATGAGAAAGTGTTATTACACATGCATGGAATCCCCCACCCTAAATACTGTCCTGCCATGCGTCTTCATCCCTTCAGTACAAGTAACATATACGTCTAGTGCTTTGTTATGTTAATATTATTCAATACGTCACATTAAATCCTTGACATACGCCATCATGACTTTTGAAAAACCAATTATAGGATAATTGTCTTAAAAGGAATAAGCTTAGCATTGCCCTGATATGAACATTGAAGTCTTGAAAGTATTCAGAAATGAAGATGGGAACCCTCTAAAAAACATATCAGTGGCCTGCAGGTGTATGTCAGTGGTACCGTCCTTGATTAGCATTCAGGGAGCCTTAGGTTCAATCTTTGACACTACAAAAAATATTCAAAAAGAATCTTAAAAAGAATTGTGATACTCTGGTTCCAGGATTTAGAACTGATAATGCAAACCTTCTACTGCCTTCTGTTTGTTGTTGAAGAGAAAGGAATCAAGCTCAGGAACGTTGAACAGATGCTGAGGTGTTGAGTAATAATCCTGGTAAATTTCCAGTATTCTTTCTGAGCCGAGCAGTGAAAGCTGTGTTGAGATTTTAGTCCACCACACCCTCGTACAATCTTAGCCTGTTCTCCCTGGCACTTGAATGGGTCTAAATGCATTCTCCACAAATCTCTCTGCTGGCTGGCAGCCACTAGACCAGTCTGCTTTCTCCTCAGAGAATCTGCTCGACCTCTCAGGCACGGCAGAGTCAAGTCTTAACAGGCCCAGGAATCTGTCTTAAGTTCTTTGTATCTGAGAAACAGGAAGCTCAAAGTGGAACTACAATCCTGAGAATACTACAGGGTGCTCGTCTATTTGCATGGGGCTCCCTGACAGGTCTTTGAAATCCCATTGAGTGATCATTAAAGTCTTTCTCTGTGTGTGAGTGACAATTATCCAGTTTTATCTGATGGGAGGTGCCAGAATGGTCTGTTCACCCTGTGTTTTTACTCGCCTAGGTTTAAAAGAAGATTAAGGTGAACGAAAAATTACAAACAGACCATCTTCATGCCCTCGTTATTTCAGAGGATAGCTGATCATTTGAACATGTGCAAGGCAAAGGATTTTACTCACAGTATCCGTTTGCAAAAGATGCATAATTCGTTGTCCGAGCCATAGGGATTTGGAATAGGGTCGTTGCTTTCTGAACACAACTGCTTATTGATTTTCATCAATGCTTGAAGTTTTCTACATACGTCCTAGAGAAAAATATAGTTATACCATTTAAGAACTTCGTAAAACAACCTTATTTAATAGCATCATGCCCATGCGAGGAAGTCATTCAGTCAGTTTAAACAACACAAAACAACGATTCTGACTTGCCCATTAGAAACAGTAAACTCACCTAATAAGTGTTTATCTGATACAACTGATTATACAGAAAAACGTATGGAGACGTGTTATAAATACTCATTTAGTAAAATATTTTCCTTTCTTACTATTGTTATGGTGACACTAGATGTTATAATAAATAATAAGCTAAGTGGATGCATTAAATACTAGTGAGTAGTGAAACAGAAGTAGTAGCCACTAGACTGTGAGAGGATTGCTGGAATACTGGGAGTAAGTGTGTGAGCACTGGATTCTACCAAGGGGCCCTGCCACATACTCTGAAATGTCTACTGCATTTCTCTTAGCAATATTAGCAGTTATCAAATGTTTGCAAAATGTTCCTTCATATTTGGAAGACAAGTTTCTATAATGATTCATTCCCAGGACAAATTCCAGATCCTTTGGCCTTATATTAGAGGCTGACTTACTTCAATGCTACTGGGACTGAAAATTCAAGACTCTTCTCCCAGGCTTTGGTACTTGGAATTCCGTTTTAACCTCCAGCACACTGTCTAGCACTACTGTTATCTGTATAACATCCTCAAAGACATATTGTGATCGTCTTGATTTGGACTTCGTTTTGGTAAATGCCAATGGTCCCTATTTATCAAGTTTAAAAGGCTGCGTGGAAACCATTTTGAATTTTAGAATCCACAGGAAAGGATAGTGGAATGTCTCTGAAGTGAGGAAAAATTTTCATTTCTGTGCTCAGTGTGTTTGACTGACAGCCTGCTCTCTGTGTTACTTTGTCCTTCCTAGGACTGAAGTATATGTGAAAATCAACAGCACATTCATTTGTGCTGGGGGAGTGAGCACTCATTCAAAATGCTATCTGCACCACCAATGAGCAAAGTTTACTAGGCCCTTAGATCAAACTTGCCTAATTTGCCATTGATGCTTTCTTTAGATTTTCCCCTAAACAAATCCTGTTCTACATACTTCCATCAGAAAGAAAATAATAAAGTTAATTTTTGTTCCAACTATCAAACATACCTCTTCCAAGGAATTGGTCATAGGAGTCTATGGACTCTATAAAACTTTATAATAATTGAGTCCATCAACAATCATTCATTGAGATTACTGTTAAATTCAACACGACAATACATAAAGTAATACAATAGTAAAGGAGCAGAAGCATGCTGATCTGAGAAGCTCACAGAGAAGAATGGGTACCATTTTATCTAATCCAGCTTCTTAAATATGTCTGGAAGTTTCAGCTACCTACAGAACAATTAGTAAGCAGACCAACCCATCCCTGGGAAATCTTGCTAAGGGTGACCTGTTAAAACATCTTTGACTGTTATCCCTGTTCAGTGATCTCTCAGAGAGATGAAGTAGCAATTTATGGTAACAGAAAGGAGCTGGCCATCTTGAGATCTGATGTGTGGCTCGTTGATGTTTTACACCAATTTAGAAACTAACTTCCTAGATTGCCGAATGTGAATAGTTCTATAAAGCTTTCAAAACCTTATAGCAGAAAGGCTATAAAGCCTAGTATCGTCACAATAAAATCATTATTCTTGGAAGGTAGATATTGGACAACATGTATAGAAAAAAGGAATAATGATAATACTAGAATGAAACTCTAAATAATCTTAATAGTTAAATCATAAAAACCCATCAATTCTAAGCAGTGTTGACTAGGTTCCATAATGTCACAGTTAAACTCCATAATGTCATAATTAGATGTAATTCCTTAAGGGATCCACCTTTAAAAACAGTAAGTTAACAAACTTATTCACAGTGTTCAGTGTGCTCAGAGATGGGCCACTGATATTCTGCTGAGGTTTAAATACCCCAATCTAGTTCCCTGGGATGCAGTGAAAGAACATACAAATGGAAAGCTCTAAATGTGCTTCTCCTTGGGGGAAACTGAGTGTCCTTAAAATGATCAAAAAATAGAAGGTTGGTACTGGAGCAGATCCAGACTGAGATGTCATCACTCAGAGCCACGGAGATGACTCTGCCTTGCAACTCCAAGCCCTCGGTTTGCTTTCGTTTCACTAAAGGTATTCTCCTTTTCCACATCTCAGAAACAAACTGGATCCACCTCACGTCATGTGCTCTTGTTATTGTCTTCTGTCCATCCAACTATCTGGCAATCAAATCCTCCAGGAGCTGGCCTTGCTCCCATTTTTGTATTGCAATGCTAACAGATTTGTTTTGGCTTTATAATGACCCTTCTCCAATGACAAATTTGAGCCTATATATAAGATCCTTTCTGGTGGCGACAGTGTCAGTCCATGGTGTTCTGGCTCATGTTTGAAATATTCAACAAGATTCTATGATGCTAGGAAGACCTCAAGTTAATTAATTTTCAGGACAACAGCAAAGATCCCAGCATCATGAAGAGTTTTCTGTTGGGGGACAATATCCAAAGAGTATTCTCGGAAACTTTCCCAGAGTGAAGACTGTTTTCTTGTGTGCATCTTGTCTTTTATTTCCATATAATAAGGTAGCCAAACCTGTGGTTTTCAAGAAGATTTTCGGCACAGTAGAATTCGATGATATCAAAGAAATTCAGTGCAAATTTTTCAACCATTGCTTGTGATCTGAGGTTTTAACGTGTGTCCTGCTCTCTAAAACCCAGACTCTGCCAAAGTCTCAAGAGCCATCACCGACTAGCCAAACTTGGGTGAAATAATAGAGGCTATCTATGTGAAATCCTCTAGAATATTAAGGAACAACATTTCTTTTCTTAAAAACAGTTACAGTGAGATACAAACAATTTAATAATGTTTTAAAAGAAGTTTGGTAGAGAGAAAACCTACTTAATTCCTTTGTTTAATTTTCATGGCCTTTGAGAGACGTAACAAATTTAGCTTCACATACAATATTGTTTCAAATGATACAGCATTGGCATACAGAGCAGCTTGTGGACAAAGATAAAATATGTACAGGACAAAGACATGACCTTTTCAATTACCTTTCAAATAGATATAAAATATAGTTCTATACAAGGAGGTTCTTTTGTTTCTCAATAACAGGCCTGTCATAATCACCTGAATACCTTCCTGGATCCAGGGTTCTGCCCTCGCAGGTGCTTCTACCAGGGCTGCTGTAAGCTGTCAAGATCTCTCCTGGCCTTTGATCCTTGTTCCCATGCTTTCTCACCATAGAACACTCTGTATCTTTTTCCCATTTAGAAATGGAGACCTCCTTTAGTTCCTGGAATATTCTATATCTTACTCTTTTTTCCCTAGCACTATTATTGAGAGAGCCATATATTTTTGCAATTTACCTGTCACAAAAACTAAAGCTTCAGAAGGCATGAGTTTTATGTCTATTGTTTACTTCAGAAAATACTGGTTTTTCAAAAGAGATCAGAATTATTAAATAGATATGTATTTAATTATATATATGTGTGTATGTGTGTGTGAGTGTATGCATGTGTGTGATGACTATGTACTGTCACACAGACACATATTTCTTTGCATAATGATTACCTAAAATGCATATATAGTATCCTGGATTTTTCCCTTGTTGAGTGGAAAAATAGCAATTTCTTGGTTGATTAGTTTATGTTTGTCTTTGGAGTTTTAAAGTACTATTTTAGTATGGTAGATTGCCTCTTGCAAATGCCTTATATAAATAATATAATGAGAGAGAAGGAGAGACAGAGAGACTAAGAAAGAGAGAGAGTTAAATATTAATGTTTTATCCATAAAGGTCTGTTTTTGCATTTTTAACAAAAGTTATTAATGCCTGTCAGTATGCTGTCTGTATTATTAATATGAAAATGTTGGCCAAAAATCAATTTTCTTTTGGTAACTTTGAAGGAATTAAATGAGAAGAAGCAAGACTGACCTGAACTGAATCCCCACTGACGGCATCTGAGACAAAAATGCAGAAAACAAGGTTAAGAGATATTAACTTTTTAATAAATTAGACATATGATTCACTCAGTGCAAGGCTCTGACTGTTTCACTGATAATATATTCTACAACCACAAATTATCTTGAATGCATTAAGATTTATGGTGACAGATCTCATGATGGCACTGTCACAAGGGCCCAAAGCTCACATTGTCCTAAATCTACCAGATTATCTACGTCGCACCATAACTCACTGAAGAGTGAGAGACAGCCTTCCTCCTTGACAGATGGCAGCACAGTGCATATGCCAAATACACCGTACCAATTTAAATATAACTTAAAACACCCAAGTAGTATAAAGCTTAAACTATATATATGTATGTATATATATAATATAAAATTTCATTTTCTGAACTCTGGCTATTCTAATTCCTTATTACAGAAGCAAAATCAGAGCTCTGTCAGAAACTAAGGTTAATTAATGTCATAGACCTATTACGCACTCATTAACTTAATCTCTTATACCTTAGATTTATTTCATGAAACAACATCATTTGTGTATAATGATCTCAATAGCTTTATATCTGAAATTCAGTGTTGTAAAAGGACTGGTCAGAGAAAGGTAAATTTATGTAGCCCATGTCATCCTGACAAGTAAAAACAAAATTTGAAAATTTATTTTCTAGCTCTCACAAAAGTCCTTAATTCTTTAGGAACAATATTTTCAATTCATTTAGAATCTTAAGATAGAATAAATGTAAAAGGAAATATTGTTTCAAAACTAGAACAGTCAATATAATTTATTTTTAATATTCACTTACCCATATAGTTTTAAAATACATGTAGTAATTGCATGCCAGTTTTAAGTGTCTAATGCCTATAGGTAGAACAAACTGGATGCTTGGATACAAAATAATCTATTGGCTTTTCAGAGCTAGTATAAAATTATCAGAAGGGCCTCTCGCAGAAAAAAAGTTCAATTATTCTCAAACAATTTTCATTATTAAGTATAGTTCGAGATTTTAACATTCTGTATATAATTACATATGTGTTATATACACGCACATACATATACATATATACATACATTAGTCTACATATTATATACATACATAAGTAATACACACACACAAACACACACATTCTAAGTAGGGGATGGGGAAGAAAAGCCCCTTCCCCAAGCTTTGAGATCTATGGCAAGAAACTTTCAGTGTTTGTAAACTGCTCACCTTGTGTGAGATAAAGAGCCAGGGTCAGAAGCAGTAGCACTGGGTCTGTCTTCATGCTGAAGGTGATGTAAGTCAGTTACAGGTCTGCTCTGTGCATTGCTCAGCTGGTGCTCTAAGACTGACCGTGTGAGCCGCAGCTCCCTTTTATACATAGGGTGACACACACACAGAACCAGTTGTTCAGGCTCATGCTAGACTCCTTAGACGGCACCAGTTTAGTTTCCATCCTATAAGATCCTGCCAAGGTATCAGATTTAAGCAGATAATGCCTATTTCTAGCACAGTAATATGTTTTCATGATAGTCATCCCAGAAGTCTAGAGAAAGGACCCCACTGGGGGCCTATCATTTTTAATCTTATATGAGCTCCCTTGTGATGCCAGGCTGCTACGGTCTCTTCCAACGTGTCTCTCTCTAACTGACCTCCCTTCATAAGTGAGAGGGGAAGGGAAACGTAGACAGATTCCTTGTCCTATCCATCAGGAAAAATGGAAAGATTTCCACATCTGGGGAAGGGTGTGTCTAATGAGAGAACCTGGGGTTTGTGTGAATTCCATCTGTAGATATTCCCAAGTGGTACTTAATGACTATATAGTGACTACAAACTCGGCATTCTTTTCCCTTCACACACTGGTAAAAGCAGAAACAGTGAACGCATGTCTTATATATAACGACTTTTTAAAACTTCCCTTCGGCTCCAGATATAGTTCAGTGATAAGGCACTGATTGCCTAGCACGTGAGAGCTCCTGGATTCCATCCCTACCTAGAGCCACAAAAATAATTCTCAATCAAAAGATTATTTTATCCTCTCCAAATACCACACTCCTCCTAAAGAGTAAAGGTTCAAGACTAAACTTTCTGTAGCCCATACATATCTAAATTATGCTGTTTCTACTAAATTAAATTTATTCTTTTGTTATTTGACCTTCCTGCAAAGAAAAAAAAAAGTTGTTACACATTATAAATATATGTGACCTTTTCAAGTACATTGTTTGTTTTTCTCATTCTACAAAGTGTACATTCTATAAGACAGCTCATCTTTCACTGTTGGCTTAGATTTCCCATGTAAAGGACATTGGGAGTTTCTGTTGGACTCTTAATGATGGAAGTGAAGGTGTTTCTCACTATTCTACTGGCTTGTGGGACCCTTTCCCTCCTCCTGGGTTGCCTCGTCCAGCCTTAATATGGGGGTTTGTCTTTGCTCTTGTTACATCTTATTGTTCTGTGTTTGGTTGATATCATTGGGAGGCCTGCTCTTTTCTGAGAGGAAATGGAGGAGGAGTAGATCTGGGGACATTGGCAGGAGGGAAGGAGGGGAGGCTGTGGTTGTATATATAGTATAAGGGAAGAATAAATTTAAGAAAATAACTGAAGCCACAATCAAATCATTTGATTTCAGTAATTCTCAGGGTTTCCACATACATAGGAAGGAAAAAAAAAGTCATGAAATCAAAGAACTTTGTATAATCTTGGCACTTTTAAAGTCAGAATTTCCCCCCTTTACTCATAAAATAATTTGCAACTCATAAAACAACCATTGACTACTAACTTTTATCACATTGTCATTGCTCAATAAAAGTAGTGACCGTGGAGGGCAAGGTCTATATATCACTGCCCTAACTTTAAAAACCAGAGTCTGTCATACCTCAGTGTAAGGAAAGCGGGCCAGGGAGGCAGGCGGTCTGTTGCTGCTATTCCTGTCTGTGTGACGACAGCATAATGGGAATGAACCAGCTTTGGATCCAAAACTTGACTCACCAGTTACTTGCCTTGGGCAAGTCACTTCCTTCCTCTGAGCTGCTGTTCCCTAACATGTAAAACAGAGTAAGTAACACAAGGGCTGTACAATTGGAAGGCTCGGATGTTACCCAGGTGCTGTGATTGTGTGTGTATGCAACTTTACTACTATAACAATACCAAGACTATGTGGTGAGCTTCGTTGCTAAAGACAGCTGGTCTCCCGTCATGAAATGCCAACTGCTTGAATCTGGATCTCAACAACAGTTGCAAGTTTACTGAGCATCTACATTCCAAAGTTAAAACGAAACATCTTTTCATTTCTTAATTGTGCTTATTGGAACATCCTTGTTCCTATATAAAAAAAGCCTTTTAAATATTCATGCACAAAGGCTAATATAGTTTATTTTGCATTTTCCCAGCCAGGTCACTGAAACTCTCTTAGTAGTAGGCAAGTTAATTCTTTCCAATAGAATCAGTGACTGTGTAAAATGCCTTGACGATACCTACTGTGGACCAGGTGAATCCTATTCTCACGGGTGGATATAGAGGCAAGGAGGAACAAAAGAACCAACAGGTGAGTGTCTCTTTGAAGAATCTCTGCTATGAGGAAACCTGAAGGAGGTGGATTCCTCCCTCTTGGCAAAGGGCTCCTCGCTGACAGCCAGAGCTTCCATTCCCAGGAGGGGAAGAACACCCAGTTCCCCCATTAATGAAAGATCCCATTGGTTGCCCATGGCCATCAGGGCTTTCTCTCCAGTTCACTTCAGGAACGTTGCAAATCTGGAGATAATTAATCACATGCCCTGTCAATCACTCTTTGTTTCTTAAAACCACAGTTGTTAAATTCAGATGAATGAGATTGTCGTTAGGCTTAGATTACTGCTAGACGATCAGAGACTCTCTCTGATCCACGTTCTGGTCTTCTGAACATTTATCAGAGATACGTAACTCTATTTACTCTTTCTAGAAAGGAAAAGGATTAGATGGTAAAAGCCGTAAACTTTCCAATTCTGTTCATTTGTCATCCAGATTCAAATCTGAACTCAAGTGAGAAGTACTGACAAAGAGGGGAAAAAAGAATAGAACAGGCAGAATTTTCATAAACCAGCAATGTCCCTGAAAACAAAGAATATTTCTAAACATCAAAGTTAGTCTTCTTTTTTCTATGCTTTAAGTTTCTTGATGCTTCTAGTGATTATTCTTTTCTCAATGAATGATCTTTTATACTTCCTCAGCTTTCACCACTGTCTTTTGTTTAATATTATGTTCATTTGATTTTCTTTGTTGATTTTCTGTGATTTTCTTGCTCTCTCTCTCAACACACACACACACACACAATCTCAATAGTCAAATAGATGATGACGAAGAAAATTGCTGTCCTGGTTTGCTTTCGGTTGCTATGAGAAAACACTAAGATCGCAAACCTAACCTGGACAGGGGAAGATTCACTCAGCTAACATGCCCCCTCACTGATCTTTGTGAAGGAAAATCGGGGTTGGAATGTGGAAGCAGGACCTGAAGCAGGGGCCATGGAAGAGTGCTACTTGCTGATTTGCTGTATGAGGCTTACTTAGCTTCCTTTTATATAGTGCTCTGGAGTTCCTGCCCAGGGCTGGCACTGTCCACAGTGGACTGGGATCCCCACATCAATCATAGATCAAGAAAATGTTCCTACAGACTTTCCCATAGGGAATCTCCTGGATGCAGTACATCATTTAACACACCCTTTTTTCAAGTTGGCAAGTTGACAATGTCAAAGCAAAGCAAAGCAAACCAAACCAAAACAAAACAAAAACCACACAAGTGTAAAGGTCTTCCTCTAAATTAAGAGTTTTCACTTGCAGTGTGCGCTGTAAAACAGACTATAACTTTGCAGCCTATAGGCTTTCACTTTCAGTAGATTGCTTGGTACATGACAGGGAATCCTCACTGGTTTATTGTTAAATATGCATGTTAGTGTAATGGAAGAACTCTGAGCACATTTAAGATGGGCTAGGCTAATGGTGTCCAGTAGATTAGAAGTATTAAATGTATTTTGGGGGATACAATATGTGGTTGGACTTTCCTTGAATTGTCAGCTCCCAGATAATGGCTTGGAGACTTATTATTTATTATGAAAGCCTGACCTTAGCTTAGGCTTCTTCCCAACTAGTTCTTAAAACTTAAATTAACTCATTTATATCCACCTCTGTTCTGCCACATGACTCATTACCTCTGTTCAGTACCGTGTGTCCCACTTTCTCTTTGTCTGGCTGGCAAATTTCTGCCTTTCTGATTCCTTATCCCTGTTCCTCCCCTCCCCCAGAAATCTCACCTATTCCCTTCTGCCCTTCTATTTGCTATTCAGCTCTTTATTAAACCAATCAGAAGATGTTTTGGAAGAGACAAATATTCACAATGCACAAAAAGATAATCCCACAACAAAAATATGCATAACAAAATTTACTAATCAGCGTAAGTGGAAAGTTAGGAGACAATAAGTACCTGATACAAATTTTACCACTTGCTATTCTCCGTATTTTTAAAATTATGATTTTATTAATTCTTTGAGGATTTTATACAATGTATTTTGATCATATTCAGCTTATTATAAACTCCTCCCATATCCTACCTGTCTCTTCATCCACCTACCTTCATCCCTCCAACTCTCTATTTCTTTTTTAAGCTCATGGTTCCTGTTGGTACCCCAATTACTTCTAGGCATATGTCCTGTCCTTAAGTGTGGACCTTATTCTGGTTGTTACACCATTAATGAAAACTGTCTTTCCTTCATCCAAAGCTATTAAATGTGAACAGTTCTTGAGATAGGGGTGGGTATTATTTCCCTCTCCCCTCCTCCATGCTGGGATTTTTGCCTGGCTTGAAATTTTGCAGGTCTTGTGCAATCGCAATATGAACTGACAATCTCTGTGAGTTCATATGCACAATTACTCTGTTGTGTCTGGAAAGGATTGTTTCCTTGCAGTCATCCAGAACCTCCAATTTTTACAATCTTAACACCTTCTCTTCTGCATAGATCCCTGAGTTTAAGGGTGTGGTGGGATATGGACATCTCATTATGTCTGAGCATTCAAAGTCTCTTATTCTCTACAAATTCTTCAGGTGTGAGTCTCTTCATTTCTTCATTATTTGCCATACACTGGGGGAAAAGAGCTTCTCTGAAGAGAGATGATAGGTGACATAATCTATGGTATAGTGATACAATGGCAGCAGTTGTTTTAATGCTATGACCATATAGTAGAAGAATGGTAGATTCCTTTCTCCATGACATAGGTCATTGTATGTCTTTTTTTTTTTCGAGACAGGGTTTCTCTGTAGCTTTGGTGCCTGTCCCAGAACTAGCTCTTGTAGACCAGACTGGCCTCGAACTCCCAGAGATCCGCCTGCCTCTGCCTCCCAAGTGTTGGGATTAAAGGAGTGCGCTACCATTGCCCAGCTCATCGTATGTTCTTGACGTTCTTGACAGTGTTTGTTTGAGTTCCATTTTTGAAGAACAGTATTCTCAACTTTTTATGGAATCTTAGGACCCCAAAATTTATTAGTTGAGAAGTATCTATATCTCCTAATATATTTTAGAAGATGAAACAAAATACTTATTTTCCTACTTTTAATTCCTTCCTCCCAGAATTCTATTATACCTCTATTTGTATTTTTGTCTTGATACTTATTTCGGAAAAGATGCCAACTGGAAGGCAGCCTTTACTGAATTTCTTATCTCAGAATACTTAACAATCCACTTCACTCCCTCTCTGAGAATTCCTTTCTGTTTACCTGGAAAGACTAAGAATGGAAGAGATAAGAATCTATTTGCATCTAAGAATAGAATGAGAAGGGCATTGTTTGTTCAGTGAGTATATAGAGTGCTATTTATAGATATAATTATTGCTTTTATTAGATTAGGGTTAAGAAAACAAAAAGACTCAATGTTTAATTATTTTAAAGAAAACAAACTATCTTTTTTTCATTTTACATACCAATCCCACTTCCCACTCTTTCTCCTTTTTTACCACCCTCCAAGCCCACCACCACCCTCCAAGCCCACCCGCATCCACTCCTAACAGAGGGTAAGTCACATTGCTTTGAGGAATGTCCAAGACCCTCCCTACTATATCTAGGCTGAGCAAGGTATCCATCCAAAGAGAAAGGGTTCCAAAAAATCCAGGACAAGCAGTAGGGATAAATCCTGGTGCCACTGCCAGTGGCTCTGCCGTCTGCCCAGCCATCCAATTGTCACCCACATTCAGAGAGACTAGTTTGGACCTATGCTGTTTTCTTCCTTGTCTGGCTGGAGTTGATGAGCTTTCATTAGCTCAGATAAATTGTTTCAGTGGGTGTACCCTTTAAGGTATTAACCTCTTTACTGATATTCTCACTCCTCCCACTCTTCAACTGGACTTTGAGAGGCCAGTCCAGTGCTCTGATGCAGGTCTCTGCTTCTGTTTCCATGTGTTGCTGGATAAAAGTTTTATGGTGATATTTAAGACATGCATCCGTCTTACCACAGGTCAATGCCAGTTTGGGCCCCTCTCCTCTATTGCTTAGGGTCTTAGCTGGGGTCTTTCTTGTGGCTTCCTGGGGATTTTTCTAGTGTCAGGTTTCTTGCTGGTTTCATAATGACTCCCTCAATCAAAATATCTCTTTCCTTGCTCTCATCTTGGTCTTTCCTCCATCTCAACTATCCCATTCCCTCACGTTCTCCTCCCCCTTTCCCTCCCCTTGTGGGGGAGGTCCTTCTGTCTATGTGTTGCTTTTATTGGTTGATGAATAAAAGAATTGCCTTGGGCTTCTGATAGGGTAGAACTTAGGTAGGCAGGGAAAACAGGACTGAATGGGGGGAGAAGGGAGGTAGAGTGAAAGAGAGACACTTTGGAGCTGCCAGAGACAGACCCTGATTGGAACTTTAGCCTGTAAGCCACTGTCATGTGGTGATACACAGATTAATAGAAATGGATTAAGATGTTAAGAGTTAGCCAATAAGAAACTAGAGCTAATGGGCCAACAGTGATTTAATTAATACAGTTTCTGTGTGATTATTTTGATTCTGGGTGGCAGGAACTAACAAGCAGCCTGCTACAACACTCTTGTCTTCCCTTTCTGCCCTCCTTAGTTCCTCCACCCCCATGTTCCCAATTTTGTCAGGTGATCTTGTCAATTTCCCCTTTCCAGGTGAATCGAGGTATGGTTTTCTTAAGGTTCACCTTGTTATTTAGCTTCTCTAGGATCATAAACTATAGGCTCAGTATCCTTTGCTTTACAACTAGAATTCACTTATGAGTGAGTATA